ATGTTTTTGAATTGCAACTCCCAGAAACACCAGCACAGCTGGTGGTGAAGGCTTCTGGGAGTTGCAGTCCAAAAACACCTGAGTAACCGAAAGTTAAGAACCAGTCTTCTACATGGCAGAAGATTTTACTACCTTAATTCTTACATAGTTACAAAAGGAGCAAGCAGGGAAAGGATGGAGTATGCTCTCTGTCTCCTGCCAGTCATCTCATGACTGAAATGCCAGCAAGTACTTTTGTGGGGGGACAAAAGTAACTTGAGGAGGCCAAATTACAAGGCTAATCCAGTGCATAAAATTATTGCTAACAAAATTCATCTCAGGTCTTAATAATTTAAGAGAAAACCACACTAGATGTAACAGAAAATTAACTTGTATAGCCACAGAAGCAAAAGGTTTTTTTTTTGGGGGGGGGGAAAGCAAAGTCTTCAAACATGGAAAGAGCATAAATAAAGTGTGAAGTGCTCTAAGCTTTAAGGGTAATGAGTTCCACTAAGGGAATGTTGCCACCAAAATGAGAGTTTTGTTGTGTTCTCACCCATTGCCACAAATACAGTGGTGCCTCGCTTAATGATGTTAATTGGTTCCATTAAAAAATCGTTATGTGAAAACATCGTTAAGTGAAACACCATTTCCCATAGGAATGCATTGAAAACCGGTTAATCCGTTCCAATTGAACGGACCATTCAAAGGCTTTCAATGGAGAATTTAAAAAATCACCAAAAATTAACAACTACTCAGAACAACACCAAATTAAGTTTGCATAGGGTTCAGGAGGTGGGCTAACGATTGCAAGCATTTAAAACAGGTTTCTAACAGTTTAAGACACTTTTACAGGAGCGAAAAAGGGACATCGTTAAGTGAAATTCCCCCATAGAGAACATCGTTAAACGATGGGGGAAATTCCTCAAAGAAACCCATCGCTGTGTGAATTCATCGTTGTATGAAGCAATCGTTGTGCGAGGCACCACTGTAATGGTATTTCAGACATAATGGCACTTACAAGAGGGCAAAATTTTGAATGGCTAGTCAGATTCATAGGGCAGAAAGCCATCTACAAATAGCTTTATTCCAACAGCTTCCAAGGGAAGTGGTGACTCACCGGATGCATTACTCCAGTTATGGTACTAACAGCCATGGCTAGCACTGGCAATAGCCAGACCTGATGTATGGTACCAAGCACAACAGATACAATGATCACATGATCTCCAAGTCAAGATTATAGTTGTGGCATTCTGCACCAACTGATGTTCTCAAATGTTTTTGAAGGGCATCCCCATATAAAAGCTGTTACTATAGTAAACTAAGAGATGACTGACAATGACCAGGTGTGTCTATGCCAGGAAAAGGCACAGGTGGGACACTGTTCTAAGACAGGCTGAAGGACAATTGCTTTTGCACTCAACATGACAAAAAAAGTCCTTACGAGACACTACAGCAGCACCATTAAAAAAAACTCAGTGGTAATCGTTAATTTTCCTTCTATAACTATCATACATATTTTTCTCTCTTGACATTCATATCCAGGTATGAACGATCAAGGAACAAGCTGAACAAGACAAAACTGCTTCAGGATGCTCTGGAGAGGTCAGGAAGGAAAGACCTGGCTGATAAACTTCGGTGTCTTCACTGGGGACATCAGAAGCTGAGTAACAGAGTAGAGCTACCCTCTGCTTTTCCTTTTCTTATTACTGTGTATAAGACTATTAACAACAAAGAAGGGCTTAAGAAAATTAACCAGCTAGGTCACAAATATAACTAAGAGTCACTAGCTGAAGAATTGCAGCTGGAGTGAACCCATGAGTACTGCTACAATGAAGAGCACAGTTCAACCTCGTTGTGTTCTGCTGCTTTGCATGTGTTCTTGTTGTTTTATCATTTTAGTGTGGTATTTGTTTGATTCTTTTGTAATATTTTTATACTTACTCTTTTTAGCTTTTAAATATTGTCTTCTACTAACATAAGCTGCCTAGGATCCTTTTTTAAGGAGAAAGGTGGGGTAAAAACATTTTAAATAAATACAATAAATTTAGTAACTAATACATATTGGATTTATCTCAGTAATGTTAACAATTGCTAACTTTTCAATATATCAACACATAACATACAGAAAAAAGCTACCTAAAGTTCTCAAATATATAGTACTGTTGGCAAATGGTATAATTCAGTTATGATAATTTCTTAGGTCTACATTTTAAGAGGTTAAATGATAAATTTATTTATTTATTTTATTTCTATCCCACCCATCTAGACTATGTCTACTCCGGGCAGCTTACATTAAAAAATTATAAAAACAATTAGAATGATTTAAATCGATAATATTGGTATCATTCAAGATGGAGAAAAGAAAATCAAGTATTGACAGGAGGGAAGGCCTGCCTAAAGAGCCAGGTCTTTAGTTGGGTCTTAAAAACACCCAGCGAGGGTGGCAGGCAGATCTCCAAAGGAAGATTGTTTCAGAGTCAAGGGACCACTGCTGAGAAGCCCGGTTTCTTGTTCTTTCTTTCCAGGCCTCCCTCAGCGTTAGCCCCCTCATCTGTCTTTCCTGGCTATAGCAAGTGATTCGGGTAGATCTAGGTGGGAGAAGGCATTCCGCCAGGTATCGAGGTCCTAAACCATTTAGGGCTTTATAAGTCATCATTAACACTTCGAAATCAATGCGGAAATGAATGGGCAGTCAATGCAAGGCAGCCAGAGTGGGGGAAATATGCTGATGTTTTCTCGTCCCACTAAGGAGTCTGGCCACCGCATTCTGTACCATTTGAAGCTTCCGCATCAAT